TTCGTCTCTCCTCCAAGAGACCTCCCCAGTCCGTCTCGGACTGGGGAGGTCTCTTGGAGGAGAGACGAAACGTTTCATTAGAGAAGAACCCGTCCAGAAGACCTATACAATTTTTTTTCTTTTGCTACTTCTTTTAGCTAGGCGTTGAAGCTTTATCAGGTGTTCTGCTTATTTTAGTTTATATCTATTCTGTTTCTTTTTTTAAACTCAGTTTCAGGTACTTCAGGAGTCTTTAATCATCCTTTTTATGTTTTTGGTTAAAATTAGATGTTTATTTTTCCATTCCTGGACAGTCTGCAGGTTTATTTCTCCAGATTAATCAGACTTTTTATTTTATTTTTAGCAGAACTCAGCGTTTAACTATAAAACGGACCCATTTTAAAGCATTTCGTTCTTTAGTTAATTGATTTTTACAAACATAATTGTAGAAATCTCAGCCTGCATTTCTCAGAGTGTCCACAGGAGGGAGCTCAACTTTTAATCACAGATAAAACAACAGTTTCCTCTGATCCACAACAGTTTTGAGAGAAAAATGTCGATTTAACAAACAGGTTAAATTAAAAACCATCAGGAAGGTGTTTATGTGGGAAAAACTCAATATAAATGAATCATTTTTATTTAGAAACATCAGATTATTTCAGCTGCAGACTGACTTCCTGTTTCCAGGTGAGTGGGCAGCACGATGGCTCAGTGGTTAGCACTGTGGCCTCACAGCAAGAAGGTCCTGAGTTAGATCTCCAGATTGGACCTGGGGGTCTTTCTGTGTGGATTAAATAACGGTAAATTTAAAAAATGTCAAACATTCACCTGAAGGTCCAGCGAAACTGTTTAATCCAGGATCTGAGCGATGATCCGGTTCGATGAGATTAAATCTGAGAACTCGTCAGGCTGATGGGTCCAGCCTCCTGATCCGGGACCTGGTTCAACATCAACCTGAGCAAACATGAAGAACTTCCCGTCATCAGTCAGATTAAAGCCCGGGATTAACAGCTGGATTATTCTCTGATCGCATGACAAAAAATATTTATTAAAAAATCATCAAGGATAAAAAATAAAATCTTGTTTGAACTAAATATCTTTATTGTGATTCATAAGATATTTTGCTAACAAGCAGATTTTCTTTGTCTGGAGACCAGAACCTGGTGGAGGTCAGCAGGTCGAGGCCCAGCAGCCATGTTGTCCTCTGGAGACCAGGTCAGGGTTCAGGACTCTGAGAAAATTCAGATTTTAATTTTGTTTTTCTTCTAGTGTTCAGTTTGGGACTGCTGCTGTAGACTAGAGACGGAGAAATGAAGCAAACAGGATTTACAGATAATTAAACCAAAGCAGACGTTTCCTTCCTGCCATCAGAGGACAGGAAACGTTTGTCCTCGGGGGTCCTGATGAGACTTTGAAGGTTTCAGACCACCTGAGAGGATCCATGAAGATCAGCTGTCTGCTCACAAATATATGAAATTAAATAAATAAAATCCACTGGAAGAAAACCGATACTTTAATAAAATGTGTTTGAGGCCTAAACAACAAATTAAATACAAAAAGAAAAGCTAAGAAGAAACATGTAATTTATAAAGATCAGCTTTGATTTGCAAAATAAATGTTTGAAAAAAAAACATCACTGACAAGAAAATAAATCCAGTTGACTCAAACAAAAGATTTTTACAAAGTAAAATAATTTAGTTTAAAAGCTAAGTTTAACACTTAAAATTAAAATAATCTAAATTCAATCCAAAAAAGATAATTTGATATAAGTTCTATAAAAAATTATTTTATTCAGCAGAACTTCAGCCTGTTAGTTTCATAATTAAGATTTTTCCAGCCCTTATTTATTTACAGTTTGTATTTGCATGCATAGTCTACTTTCGTTAATTTATTTGTTTTATAAAATTTATTTGTTTACCCAACTCAAACCTTATATAAACTAAATACAAACTAAAATGAACTATAAATAAAATTATTAATAGTTATTCATAATAATTGTAGTTATATAAAATCTTGTTTTGTTGTAAAGTGTTCCATCTTCCGGCCCGGACCCTTCCACCTCTGTCTACCCGGGGTCAGGCTCCTGGTCCCAGTCTCTCGCGCTCCGGTGTGTCGGCAGGTTGGACGGATCCTCCGCGGTGACCACCGGAGGTTCTGCGGAGCTCGGAGCCGCAGAGGTGGCGCCCTGCCCGGCCCGAGAGGCCTCTGAGGCTCCGGTGGATCGGACCGGGGGAACCGGGGTCACTCCGGGAGAGACTGGAGAAGTAATCTGATTACTTCTGCTGGTCACGTGACTCTCCGGTTGATTGACGGAGTGGTTTCTGTCAGTCAAACAGTTTTTCTGAGGCGCTGCTCCTGCAGCTCCAGAACCAGATTCAGCCTCAGTCTGGGTCCAGGTGTGCTCTCCGGTCCTGGTCCTGGTCCTGTTCTGGGCCGGTCCGGGGGTCCAGATGAAGCCGTAGTAAACAGTCAGGATGACGGCAGCCAGAGACACGGACAGCAGGTAACCCGCCACGATGCTGAGTCGGACCCACTTCCGGTTCCCCACCTGGTTCGCCTTCTCTCTGGGATAGATGGCGGGTTTGGGGCGTCCTGCTGGACCGAAGCCCGGAGTCCAGCCCTTCTTCTCCCGCATGATGTGCGCGTGGAGGCGGGGTGTGCGGGTCTGTCACAGCCGGGCAGAGAGTCTGCAGCACCGGCCGAGAACCGCTGCCTCCTCCCGGATCTGAACCCCCCTCCAACAGGTCTACAGTTAAAGCGGGTCTGTGTGGACCGGAAACTCTTCTGCCTTACCTTACCTTCAAAATAAAAGGTTTTTGTTTTGGTTTGGGAGTCCATTATAAAAATAAATAAATAAGAGTAATATGAGTTTTAAATTTACAATTATGTGATGCAAATCTATATTTATGTGTTTCAGCCATAAATTTAACTTCATATTTAATAAATCCAACTTTAAAACGTGTTATTTTAAAGGTCTTAAAAGAGCATTTGAAATTAAAACATTACTTTTCTCTTGATTATAAAATTTAACAACATGATTAAAACACAATTATGACTGTAAAACTTGTGATTATTGAATACACAATATCAGTTTGACATGGATTATGATGGATTAATCTCATAATTATAATTTTTAAAAACATAACGACGGAAACTCGTAATTATAACTTTAAAACTTATTAGAAAGGCTTTCAAAGTTGTGAAATATCTTTGAATTAACATAAAGTGACTTTGGAACCTGTATTTATGGCTTTGAAAATCACAATAATGACTTCAATCTTATAACTTTAAATTTGCTTTGAACATTGCACTGAAAGGAACAAGATGAAAAAAACTGCCACAATCTTGTGTTAAAACTTTTATTATGTCATCAATTAAAGATGGTAAAATAAAAATTTTATACTTATGATCTATAAATTCCCAGCTTGTGTTTAAGCAACAGTAAATTCAGTGATAAATGAAGCAGCTTAAAGAAATACAATGTGATTTTTAACAAATACAACACGTGCAATCTTCAATATTTCTTTGGTTAATAATTATTTGTGAAGCTTCAACATTTAGGATGAGCTCAAACCGAAAACAAATAAAATAGGAACGCTAACTGGATTCAGACTCACTGATTAATATCATAGAAACAGACTAATTCTTTATTTTTAACTTTCTTCGACCTTTGTTAGTTTAGTTTTTCGGTTCGGCTCCATGTCTTCATCAGAAGGATTCGATCTGTCAGCAGAAACGGTGGTAAAAGTTGTTTTTTGGTGTCAGATTTGGCTCCAAACATCCAGAAAATCCTGTGAATCAAAAACAGATTAGTACAAATTAATGAGGAACAAAAATATTAAAAATCCAAACTGTTACTGTTCAAGATGGCCGCCAGCTAAAAAAAACACAACAACTCACCAATTCTTACAGATAAAAAGTTATTGTGGTGCAAGCTGAGAGTAATTTACATCTGTTTAAAACTTCATCATTACCTGTGACAGTGTTTGGTGTCTCTTCACTCCTCCAGGCCCTTCTTGGAGGATCCGTCCCTGGTTTTGGCCCTCAGCTTGTTCACCTGTGACTCAGCCATGTCGGCCCTCTCCTCAGCCTCCTCCAGCTCGTGCTGCAGCTTGCGGAGTTTAGCCATGTTAGCGTTAGCCGCCTCCTCCGCCTCCTCAGCCGCGCGCTTGTAGGACTTGACTTTTAGCTGCAGCTTGTCCACCAGGTCCTGCAGGCGCGCCATGTTCTTGCGGTCCTCCTCGGTCTGGTACGTCAACTCTTTGATGCGGCGCTCGTACTTGCGGACCCCTTTGATGGACTCTGTTCCTCTCTTCTGCTCTGCTTCCAGCTCGTTCTCCAGCTCCTTGATGCGAGCCTCCAGTTTCTGGAGCTGCTTCTTGCCACCCTTCATGGCGATCTGCTCGGCCTCGTCCAGGCGATGCTGCAGGTCTTTGATGGTCTGCTCCATGTTCTTCTTCATGCGTTCCAGGTGGGCGCTGGTGTCTTGTTCCTTCTTAAGCTCCTCGGCCATCATGGCTGCATCTGTTATGGCCTTCTTTGCCTTTTCCTCTGCGTTGCGGTTCTCCTGGATGGTCTCCTCCAGCTCGTTTTGAAGGTTGAGCAAGTCGGCCTCATGCTTCTTCTTCTGGTTGATCAGGCTGGTGTTTTGAGAGTGCAGGAGCTGCATCCGCTCCGTCACGTCAATCAGTTCCTGCTCTGCCAGTTTGCGGCTTCGTTCAGTCTGTTCCAGGGCGGCTCTCACCTCTTCCAGCTCTGCTTGGATCAGGTTGTGTCGGCGCTCCAGCAGGGTAGTGTTCTCTCTCAGGTCGTCGTTGCAGTGCTGAGCGTCGTCCAGCTGTAGCTGAGTGTCTTTCAGGAAGGCCTGAAGGGTCTTGACCTGCTTCTGGGCCTCAGCTGCCTGCCTGTTTGCTTGGCCCAGCTGGATCTCCATCTCATTCAGGTCCCCCTCCATCTTCTTCTTGACTCTCAGGGCCTCGTTTCGGCTCCTGGTCTCAGACTCCAGAGAGGACTGAAGAGACTCGAGCATCCGTTGGTAGTTCCTCTTGGCCTGCTCCATCTCCTCATCTTTCTCAGCCAGCTTGCGCTCTATATCAGCCTTCACTTGATTGAACTCCATCTGGGCTCGAAGGATCTTGCTCTCTTCGTGCTCCAGGGTGCCTTCGGCCTCTTCCAGCGCTGACTGGAGTTCAGCCTTTTCCTGCTCCAGCTGTTTCCGCATCTTCTCCAGCTCGTGGGCGCTGCGGCCACCCTCTCCAAGCTGCTCGGTGAGGTCAGAAATTTCCTCCTGGAGGTTCTTGTTCTCCCTCTTCATCGTCTCAAGGTGATCCAGTGATTCTTCGTAAGAATTCTTGAGTTTGAAAAGTTCGGTACTCAGAGACCGAGCTTCCTTCTGGGAGGCCTCCAGTTCACACTGCGACTCCTCAAACTTCTGCTTCCATTCAGCCAGGACTTTATCAAAGCTTCTTTGCTTTTTGTCCAGCACTGCAGAGGCTGCATTAGATCGCTCCAGATCCAACATGAGGTCTTCAATCTCATTCTGAAGGCGGTGTTTGGTCTTCTCGAGGGATGAACACTTTGCGTTCACGGCCTCGATGGCCTCTTCAGCTTCTTGAAGTCTTTGAACCAACTTCTTCTTTGCTTCTTCTAGCTCCTCTGTCCTCTGGATCCCATCAGTCTCATATTTACTCCTCCATGCTGAGACTTCTGTGTTGGACTTGGACAGAGCTCTCTGCAGTTCGGCCTTGGCCTCCTGCTCCTCTTCAAACTGTTCCCGAAGCAAGTCGCAGTCATGGCGAGCAGACTGTAAAGCGTGGGCGAGGGCATTTTTTGCCTTCACTTCTTCTTCCAGCTGCCTGCGCAGATCCTCCACCTGCTGGTTGTATGAGTTTTTCCCTCTGGTAAGCTGTGAAATCAGACACTCCTTCTCCTCCATCTGGCGTCCCAGCTCACCATTCTCTGTGAGCACTTTGGCCTTCTGGGTTGTCAGGTCATTGATGGTCCGCTGAGCCTCCTCATATTTGCTCTTGTACTCGTTCATGCTGTCTTCCATTGTTCGGCACATCTTCTCAATGTTGGATTTGGCCTTAACCAAACATTCCATGTTGGAGGACAAGTCATCCAGCTCCAGTTTCAGCTCGGTCTTCTCCTTCTCCAGTTTCTGTTTCACCCTCTGCAGGTTGTCAATTTGTTCTCCCAGCTCAGCCACACTGTCTGCATGTTTCTTTCTCAAAGAGGCAGCAGTTGCTTCATGTTGGAGGGTTGACTCCTCCAGCTCTCTGCGCAACTTCTGAAATTCAGCATCTCTCTTCTTATTAAGCTCTACCTGAGTAGACGTGGCTCCGCCAGCTTCCTCCAGGCGCTCACTGATGTCCTCCAGCTCACGGGAAAGATCTGAGCGCTGCTTCTCCACTTTTGCTCGGGCTGCACGTTCCGCATCCAGCTCCTCCTCCAGCTCCTCGATTCTTGCCTGGTTTTCCTTCAGCTTCTTCTGGAGCTGAACTGAGGCAAGCTGCTCATCTTCAAGTCTTGAGTTTATTTGGTTGATCTCAAAGTCTTTCTTCTTGAGTTTTTCTTCAAGCTGTTGCTTGTCATTCTCCAGGTCCATTAATGTCTCCTGGGTCAGTTTCAGGTCCCCCTCGAACTTCCTCTTGGAGCGCTCCAGGTCCATCCTGACTTTCTTCTCTTGCTCAAGTGAGCCCTCAAGATCATCTACTTGCTGTTCCAGTTTAGCTTTAGCTTTGGTCAAACTGTTGGCTTTATCTTCTTCACTCTGCAGGTCATCCAGTGCCTGCTGGTGGGCCTCCTGCAGTGCCCTTTTCTCCTTCGTCAGCTTCAGGATGTTCTCATCCTGAGAAGCCATCTCTTCCACCAAGTTTTTCACCTTATTCTCTGTAGCATGCTTCTCCTTTTCCACCTTGGCCAATGTTAACTCCAGGTCATCGATATCTTTCTTCAGCTCACTGCATTCATCTTCTAGCTTGCGTTTCTTTGCTGTAAGATCTGCATTCAGCTCCTCTTCATCCTCCAGTCTTTCACTCATCTCCTTTAGCTTGGCCTCCAGTTGGATTTTACTCTTAATGAGCTGCTCACAGCGTTCCTCAGCATCAGACAAAGTGTCTTGCTCAGACTGAATCTGCAGAGTTAAATCGTTCTTCTCTTGGAGAAGAGTCACTATTTTTTCCTCTAGTTCCTTCCGCCGGGCTTCTGATTTCTCCAGAGCTTCTTTCAGCTTGTTAAATTCATCCTTCATGTTGGCCATCTCTTTTTCAGCCTCAGCACTCTTCAGCAGGGGTTTTATCTTGAAGAAGAGCTTCATCCAGGGCCAGTTCTTCACACCCAGGAAAGATCGGAGGTTCCACTGGATGACCATTAGGGCATCCCGGCGTTCCACCAGTTTGGCAAATGTCTCCCTCATGAGGAGTCCTCTGGCATTAGCCTGGAGCCTGGTCAAGATTCTAGAGAGTTGTTCATCTCGCATCTCCTCTAGTGTTCCCAGCAATCCAGCTTTGAAGAAGACCTTTGTGTGGCCAAATTTATACTGCGTGTGGTCAATGTCCAGTGATCCTAACAGCTTTTCTGCACTTTTTTTACTGTCAATGAACTGCCCCTCTGGGATGGCAGAGGCATTCAGGATTCTGTACCGCTGCTTAAAGTCACCGTAGAGCACCCTGTTTGGGAAGCCTTTCCTGCAAATCCTGATGCCTTCCAAGACACCGTTGCAGCGCAGTTGGTGCATCACGAGGCAGTTGTCCATGACCCCTGGAGTTTTCCTCTCATTGGGAATCAGACAGCGGACAAAGTGGGGATGAGTGGTCTTCAAGTTGGTCATCAGCTTATTCAGGTTTTCCCTGTGAAGAGCAGACACTGTTTGGAATGAAGAACCCTTCTTCTTAGCTCCTTTTCCACCTCCTTTGTCTGCACTATCGGATCCTGTATAGGTTGAAAACAGCAGACTTAACAGTTTCAGAGAAGATTTCTGAAAAAGGCCAACCACAGTTTCATTCAGAGGGTCTTTGTTCTTGACCAGCCAGCCGCCAATGTTATAGTCCACAGTCCCAGCATAGTGAACCAGGGCAAAATGAGCCTCTGCTTTTCCTTTTGCTGCCCTTGGCTTCTCAAACATCTTGTTTTTGCCCAGATGATTATCATAGAGCTTGGCCTTGAAGGTTTGATCACTGGCTTTGGGAAACATACATTCTTCCTCTAGAATGGAAAGAATCCCTAGAGGCTTTTCGATCAGGTCAATGCAGGCCTGCAAGTCCATCCCAAAGTCAATGAACTCCCATTCAATCCCCTCTTTTTTATACTCTTCCTGCTCCAGAACAAACATGTGATGATTGAAAAACTGTTGCAGCTTTTCATTGGTGTAGTTGATGCACAGTTGTTCAAATGTGTTAAAATCAAAGATCTCAAATCCAGCAATGTCCAGAACCCCTATAAAGTACTGACGGTGCTGCTTAGTGTCCAGTGATTGGTTGATCCTTACTACCATCCAGTTGAACATCTTCTCATACACTGACTTAGCCAGTGCACCGATGGCATAGTAAACTTGGTCTACACTTTGGCCCTTGGTGACATATTCATTTCCTACCTTGACCCTGGGATGGCACAGCCCTTTGATGAGGTCAGCAGAGTTCAGTCCCATTAGGTAGGCTGATTTATCGGCAGCTTCTGTGCCATCAGGTTCAGCCTGCTCCTCACGCTGCTTTTGTTTAAACTTCATGTTTCCGTAGTGCATGATGGCACCTGTCAGTTTGTAGACACCCATCTTCTCCTCTGAGGTGAAACCAAGAACATCAAAGGCACTGTCGGTGGCCAACAGCTCCTCAGAATCATTGATGGAGGCAACTGACACCTCTCCCTGGGAGATGTAGGAGTAGTCATATGGGTTGTTGGTGATCAGCAGCAGGTCCAGCAGCTCTGGCTTCTGATTGGACAGGATCTGGTAGAAGATGTGGTAGTTCCTCTCAGCCTTAAGCTGAAAGGTGACACGGGATTTTTCCAGCAGGTACGTCTCAATATCAGCAGAGGACAGTTTGCCGCTGGTGCCGAAATGAATACGAATAAATTTTCCAAAACGAGATGAGTTATCATTTCTCAAGGTTTTGGCATTCCCGAAGGCCTCGAGCGCTGGGTTTGCCTGGATGATTTGATCTTCCAGTGTCCCTTTGCTGCTGTCCTTTTTGACTGCACCTCCAACTGCAGCAATGCTGGCAAAGTACTGGATGACTCTCTTAGTGTTCACTGTCTTTCCTGCACCGGATTCTCCAGTGATGAGGACAGACTGGTTTTCTCTGTCTGTCAACATGTACTGATAGGCATTATCTGAGATGGAGAAGATGTGGGGAGGAGCTTCACTGCGCTTCTTTCCCCTGTAAGCTGCCACTACCTCAGAATCGTAGACAGGAAGCCACTTGTACGGGTTGACGGTGACGCAGAAGAGCCCAGAGTAGGTGTAGATCATCCATGCAGCATAACGCTCTTTGAGGTTAAACAGCACAGCAGGCTCGTGCAGGAAAGTGAACATCGCCATGTCTTCAATTTTATCAAACTTTGGCGGGTTCTGGGGGTGAATGTCAGTCTCCTTCACAGTCACCGTGTTCCCATCCTCTTTCTTCACAGTCACCATCCCTCCTTCTTTGCTGAGTATTTGCCCTTTCACATATTCTTCTTTATTATCGACAACAAAACATTCCGTCTTGATGTCAAAAGCTCTGGTCTGAGACTCCAGACGCTCCTTCTCAGACTTCCTTAGGTAAGGAGCAGCCTTTCCAAACTCAGCCATCAGAGCGTCACCCATGGCGATGGATAGAGCTTCACAGCAGTCAGAAGAACTGATGAAGAGAGTGTTGTCTTGCCGATGCTGATGAAGACTGTAACCGTCAGGCAGTCAGCAGACATTTATAAATGCTCCCTGTGGACCAAAAAAGGAATTATCTGATGGGACAAACCAGCTACTGATCTAAATTTGTCTCTGAATGCACTATGAGGGCAGATTCTGGACCTTAGACTGTTAGAATCCATTTTAGGACAAGCAGTTTCAATGCTTATCTGTTTCTGATAGCCACTGATCTAGCTCTTCATTGTAGATCGACTGTATCCTCATTGCTGCTCGTGAGGATCTTCTCTGTCTAATAAAAACTATAGGCCTGGCATTTTTTTAGGTAATGCCTGCTGCCCACCACGTTTCATGCCACAGTTTTAAAACTAAGATCACCACCAGTTTTATTAAAATTTACTTGTTACTGTTGTAATAAAGTGTGATGAAAAGTCTAAAGTGAAATAGTTCAAGTAAAAGAGGAGATGACTGGATCTGGATGAGAAGATGGACTTCCATAGTTTTAATTCAGCAGCACTAAAAATCTGTATTTTCCAATTTGTCACCAACAAACATCAGTCTAGATTGTGAGGAAACACGTGTAAAGAACCAGTGGTGCTTTGCTTCAGTTTTAAAGTTGACAGAGTGTTCTGAGATGAACTCAAGTGTTTGTGTCTCTTTATCTCTGACACTCAGGGCTCTTCAGCCTGCAAATAGAAACGAGACCGGTTTTTATCTGGGATATGTGCAGCTTACTCCAGCCTGAAGAGGCTGAAGTCAGTCTTCTGTTGGTTCTATATGTTCGTAACAAAGTGACAGATTTACATCTGTTTTGTTCATGAGAAATCTGACAAATTGTTTTATTAAATTTAGAAAAAAAAACACTTTTCATATTTTAGTGGTTACATGAGGACAAAACATGAGCGAGTATCCAGCTCAATATTGCTTAGAAAAACTGCATTATAAACTCTTATCCCTTTTCAGTCTACAAAATATAAAAATGTCTTAATCCATGCATAGGAATGGAGAAGTAGAAACTTAGTGTTTGTTGTTTTGTGGAGGATAGCGCATGACTCATAAAAAAGTAACTGTTTTTGGCATATTTCACAATATCTAAATGTGGGAAAAGCTGAACGTTTGTCAAATCAAAATGCAAAAATAGCTAGTTCTCAAATTAGTTATTAGCTAGTTAATCAAATTAACTTGTATTCATGTGTTATATTTGTATCAGGTTCATTCAGTGACACAGAGTAAAATACTAATATTTAAAGACACAGCCACAAAACACACAATAATTTGTTTTATATATTATGTTTTTAAAAAGATCACAAACATCAAAATGTTTTGAAAAAATGCAACAATAAAAAAATAATTTAGTTTAATAACAAAGAATGATTATAAACCAAAAATTTATGGAAGTTTTCTGCTAAATAATTAAGCTTTTGATTTAACCCCAATACTTTACTGTGAAACAGTTTTGTTTTCCGTTTGATTAAAAAAATCTTATGAAATATTTAATGTGACGGGGTAATAAAAAATAATTTAAACATTTTTTCACAAGTGAAAAACTTGTTTAAACATGATTTTTAACTATACCTTTAACATAAAATGGGACTGAATATGAATAAGAATAGGAACAAAAATATATTAAAATTTAACTTACATATCTGTAACTTTTCTGTTAAAACCTGTAGTTTGTTTCAAAAAGGTTCAGTTCAACTCCACAGTTTAAATAAAACTATAAAATGAAATAAAATAAAAACTTGAAAGAAACTGAAATGTAAAACATTAAAACTGTTTTTTCTTTTTTTGTCAGATGCTGCACAACAAGAGGTCAGAGGTCAAGAAGAGAACAGCACACAGCCGTACAGTCGTACAGGTGTGTTTACAGGTAAAACCATCTGTTTCTGGTTAAACAAACCAGTCAGCAGCAAGAGGTCAAAGTTCAAACCTCAGACTAAAGCCCTGGCAGGGAGGGGTGGAGCTTACAGAAAACATGCCATGATTGGCTGCTCAAATAAAAACAGATACTCAAACTGAACTGATCCTGGAAAGGGTGAGTTTGAAGCAAAACTGAGGTGATTCTCAGAAATAAGCCCAGCCGAGTGTCTGAGATATCAGGTGAATTTTAAACATAAAATCGATTCAAGCCAGTTGACCCTCAGCAGTGATATCAGGAGCCAAAAGCACAACTCGAGGTGATCTCACAAGGTTTGAGAATAATCCCAGGTATGACAGTGAATATACGTAGTTCTTAGTGAATTTTATGGATGATTTCCAGTAAACACAGATGAGCCGAAGAGATTATCACAGGTGAGTTTCAGGAATGAGCTCAAGTAAATTTAGGGTACAGTCCTAGAATATTCTTAGCAGTGATCTCAGGTATACACCCAGGTGTGTCTTCCAAGAATAAACTCAGGTAAGTCTCGTGTGTATTTCCTCATGTCGTACGCATTCTCTCAGGTATCATCCCAGGTCACCAACAGGCTTGTTCGTATTTGAGTTTCAGGTATTGTCCTACTTGAGTCCAACAGAAGCTGAATCTAAGATGTAACGCCACGCGCTTTTCAAGTATGAACTTGATCCCAAATGGAGGTATGATTCCAGGAAACTCCACAGGAATCTCAGGTATGAACTCAGGTGAGTCTCAGTTAAATTACAAAATGAATCTTGAGCATAGTGTCAGGTTTCAGCCCTTCTAAATCAAGTTTGAAGTTCAGGTCAGCTTTTGGTATAATCTCAGTTAGATTTCAAGCCTGGTAACAGGTGACCAAAAAAGATCTCAGGTACACTCTTGATGACTCTCAAGTATAAGCCCCTGTAAGGGTCTGGGAAATGTTCAGGTACGATTCCAAGTGGGTCTGAGCTGATCAGCAGAGCGACATACGTTTGCGGTACTGCTCCACCAGTGGTACCAGGCAACGTGGCGGGCCGGCCTGTAGCAGAAACGGGTGCTCCAGCAGGTCACTGGCACAGCTGCGCTGCTGCGTGTCACGAGTCAACATGCAATTCAGGAAGTCCTTCAAAACTGGAGACACCTAAACAGAAAAATAATGACATCATCAACCAGTGCCAGGACTTGCCATAACATCAACATCTGCAGGTACACAGTGCCTAACGTTAAGTATTTGCAAATGTTTATTAGAAGACCATGGTCCACATAAAGCACATTTTAGACCAGAGTCCTCATTTTGTATGAAAACCAGAATGTGTGTGTGTGTTTAACTGACCCTCTGGATGTTCTTCACACTTGGCTCTGCTTCGTCTCTCAGCTTCTTCATGGCGCTGATGGGCGTTTCATTAAAATATGGAGGCTCACCATCCACCATCTCTACCACCATGATGCCCATTGACCAAATGTCCACCTGAGGGACACGAGACACTGTTAGGACACTTATAACCGTCTCTGTCATTTTAAACCTTTAGCATGCTTCTGTGATTTTACATGTTTGATTTTTACATTTTATATCACAGCTGCTGACCAGTCGACACTGACTAGCTTAAAACAAGCTGAAAAGTATTTTTATGAGGACACAAGTTGACAGTTTGCACCACATTCTCCTCACAGTTGGATGAAAACTGTTCTGTTTAGATGTTTCAGGATTGTCACCTCGGTGCCATATGGCATTTTGGAGATGACTTCAGGAGCCATCCAGTACGGCGTCCCGACCAAAGACTTCCTCTTTGGCACATCTTTATTGATCTGTGCGCAGAAACCAAAGTCTGACAGCTTTATCTGTAGCCAGAAAAAATAAAAATAAAAGAGAATCATTACATGTCTGTTGTCTATGTAGTGATTAAATACTTTGTTTTGTTTCTTTTCATCAACGTCTTCAGACAGATAACACAGAGCTGTGATTTATTCTTCCCCCTCAGCCATTTCTGCTAAAAAAACTTACGAATGTTTGTTATTACAAATGTCACGCTGTATTTACTGTAAACTGTCACAAATACATACAATTTACTATAAAAACAAAAACGGTGTAATAGAGGGACATTTAAAATATGTCAAAAATTTATTCTCTCTCTCTCTCTCTATGAGCTCTGACTGCAAACTGAAATAACTCCTAGTAAATTTATTTAGTTATTTAAATAACCTGATTAAGCGTGTGTTTGCAAACCATCATAGTTTCAGAATCTCATTTGCAAAACTGAGTACTGATGTGAATGATGTGCTAGAATACTGTAATTTCTCTGGAAAAAAGAGAAAATGCTGCTTAAATTTAAAGTTCTGCTTAAATCATTTAGCATGAGCTGTGTGTTAAAATGTAAAAACAGGTTTTCTGAAGCTCGGGGTCCTCACAATGTGATGAAGACAAATATGTGTGTTTGTTTCTTGTTCATTTAAAAATTAAAAACTGGTATGAATAAGTACCGGCCTTTTTTTTAAGTGTTTTATTTATTATTATTGGTATTTTTCAGAGTCATGTAAATCTGTGATGTCATCAAACAACGTGAGGAACAGATGTTACCCTGCCGTCCAGAGTCAGCAGGATGGAGTCGCTCTTGATGTCTCTGTGGATGACGCCCTGGGAGTGGAGATAGGTCAGAGCCTGCAGAACGCCCTCACACACCGTCGCTATCTGCTCCTCATTCAACCTGAAGATCACAGTTTGTACTATAATTTCTAAATTTTTTTAAATAATTGTGTTTGTAATTACAAGCTTGCAATGTTGTGCGTGTGTTGTCTTTTATGCTGCATATGTGCACACATTTTTTATTCAAATTCTGTTTTGTCTTTATTGTTACCTCCGCCAACGGCGTGGTAATGTTTTCGGTCGCGTATGTCCGTCTGTCTGTCGTTCAGTCTGTGGACAACATTACTCAAAAACTTGAGGACGGATTGTCATAACATTTTTACCACATGTGGGTGCTGGCCAAAGTAACACACCATTAAATTTTGGTGATGTTCCGGGTCACGATGCGGATATAGGAATATTTTTTCTTTTAATCCTTTCAGATCGGCAAAGCTGTGATGCTTTCACAGGGCTTCTGTAAAAAACTGTTACAGCTTTCAGTGTTTGGACTTCAAACTTTATAAAAGTAATGTTAATACCAGATGTAGTGATGAATAATTCTTGCCATAATGTGCACATTTTTAAACATTTGGTGCACATTTAGAGAACGTTTTGTGACTATGAAGTGTGTGACTGCACCATGAAACCCATTTTTCCCATTTCCTCAAACACACCACATTGTCGGTAGGCTTGTACACAGATCGATGAAGATTGAGGAAGAGGAGTGACGTGGTGGACTTCAGACTCGGAGGTTGTTTGTTTGTTCATTTTTATTATTATTTAAATGAGGCCAGATCAAGTCGAGAGCTCTTTGTGCGCCCCTCTATCCACCTCTCGCCAAACTTTGGGGAAAAAAGAACGCGCAGAGCGTGGTTGTGACTGCTGTGTCTGGTCCTCACAAAGATAGGAAGACGCGTGTGTGTCTGTGTGATTAGACGCGCGATAAAAACTCTGCTTTTTTGAATCACGTAGCACCGATGCGAAAGCTTTCAACAAAAACGTCGGATGACGAGTCTGACTTTTTTCCTTTTTTTCCACATTGGACTCCACCGGGAAGAGATTCTGTGCATACTGCCTGCTTAAATGTTCACTACGTCAGAACTTATTTGGCAAAAGTGTTTCCATCTCTGCTTTTGTGCATTAAATCTATTAAAGGATGGGGGAAATTGGACTTGGCGGAGGTTTGCACTCTCCGAGGCCTTCTAGTTTACATTGTTTTTCTGGAGTTCCTTTGTCTCTTTATTATATTCGACATTTATCATTTATTGTGTAATTGGTTTGAAAAGACCACCTCTTGAGTCTTGAACCATGCAACAGGTTCCAGTGATTTTATTATACTTTTTTCCTCACCTGGTTTCACCAATGATGTGGGTCAGCGCGCCGCCCTGCAGGTACTCCATAATGACCCACAGCTCATCCTCCACCAAAGCGCTGCGGAACATTTCCACTACGTTCATGTGTTGGTAGTCCCTCATGATGACCACCTGAGAGGAACGGAAGAGTTCAGATTTACCACTCGGATCTTTAAGTACAGATAAAGATCAGCGTGTCCAGAAGCCCCGCCCCTTGCACCTCATTAAAGAGCAGTTCTCTGCGCTGCTGCTTCCTCAGGTCCATCATCTTCACCGCCACCTGACGCCCGGTGTGCCTCTCTCGGGCGATGCATACCACGCCCGTGGACCCCTCGCCGATTTTCACAAAGTTCTCCAGAGTCATCCTGGGGTCCCCTGGGTCCACAACCATCTGCAGCGCTGCCTTAAACTGCTCATGAGTCACTTTCTGCGGTCCGCCGCTGGGTGGGGTTTTGGCGGTGGTTACACGGGGGAGAGCTGGGGAACCCAAGGCGGAGGGATGGGGCTGCGAGGGGCTGCGGGGGGTTGGCGAGCTTGACGTTCTCGTAGGAGTGCTGTAAGTGGAGGCGGGGCGGGGAGAGAGCGGTGGTAGCCCTCTGCCTGTGATGAGGGGGCTGCTGGTGCCGTTAGGTGGGGGTAACAGAGGGCGGGAGGTGGGCAACTGAGGAGGAGAAGGAGAGCAGAAGAAGAAGCATCATAGTCCTAATGAACCACAAGCAGCTGTGACTCAAAACAAAACAACTTAATACAGAAAAAACACAACGAAACATGAAATTTGTGAGCAAAAAAAGCTTCAAATTAACTCTACGCTCTAGTTTGAGACAGTTTTCTTAGCAAACATGTCATCACAAATCATCAGCTCACATGAGAATTTTAATGGTAGTGAGTGAAAACAAATCTTGTTATTTAGTAAAACACGTTGTGTTTTTGTGCACAAAGCAGTCGTAAACATGCAGAGCAGGCTGCAACACTGTTTTTGACCTTTTTATGGCCTAAAAATGAGAAATCTTCACTAAAAACTATTGAGATGATCTATTTTTCTCCGTACATGACCTCGTTCTGCAATTTTTGTGCTATTTTGAAAAATTATACATCAAAACATTAGCTGCTTCGTGATATTTCAGCTGTAAATTTAGGTATTTCAGCATTTTACAGCTTTTGACATATTTAGCCTTTTCTGCCGTTGTTTTTCCTCACTGAAAATGAATGGAGCTCAATTTAACATCCTTAAAACCTTCAAAATGTTTATACGTCTTTATTACAGTTTTTACTTTTTTGTTTTAGTGCTGCTCTTAGCCTTTGTGCTAATTTCACCTTCATTCAGCTTTTATTTAGCTGATTTTTAGCATTTTCCTGCATTTTTAGTTAGCATTCTGACTTTTATAGGATTTTATCTGTTAATTTAAACTTTTTTGTGCTTCTTTCAGTAGATTTCTGCTAATTTGTTTTTTTACTTTTGTACAAATTTGAGTTTTTTTCTTTTTTTTCTGCAACTTTTCTGCTCTTTTCGGCCTTTTTGTTGATTGAAATGTTTTTGTACTTCCAGCTTCTTTCTGCTAATTTAGGCTTTTTATGCTTCTTTCAGCAGCTTTCTGCAAATAGAGCTACTTTTTTGCTAATTCGGGTAATTACAATTTCTTTTCAGCTAAATTCACATTTTAGTGATGATTTCAGTTTCTAACTGCTTAATTCAGCAAATGTTCTGTCATGGATTTCAGGCAGGAAAGAACCCATGGCGCGGGCAATTTCAAAAAAACCAAAAATCAAAATTTATTTAAACAAAAAGTGCTGACGGGCCAGCTCAAGAAACTCACAAGGCTTGGACGTGGCACAGCACAGGACACGAATAACCTTAAAGCTGGAACACACAGCACAATACAGGACAATGGGCCTCATGCATGAACATGTTCGTATTCTTCTCCTAAATTTCTCTTACTTTTGTTCGTACGAAGGGTTCGTACGAACATGTCACGTCAGATTCAACAAACTCTTCTATCTTCAGGAAAAGTGTGTAAATGAGGAGCGTAAACTGATGAATGCGTATCCAGGTGCTCATGCACGAGGAGAGGTGATTTACATAATTACCACTCTAAAAACACCATATAAGGATATTCGTTTCCTGCCCCACATACCAGGAAGTGTTCATTCATAAGTGACATCGCAAAGTAAAAAAGAAGAACTAGTTCGGAGATTGAAGTTCTGCTCTCGGAGATCCACAAAAAAAAGTCATTTTTAGCAGCGTCAGCTGTGGAACTAAAGGATCTGCTTTAAAGCCGAGGAATGAAATGATGACTGCTGTTAATGTCGTGTCTCCTGTGGGTCATACAGTCACAGAAATAAAAATCTAAATCATATTTATCTCTCTCTGTCGTCCTGCTGCGGTTTTTCTTTGGTCAAATATTTTTAATTTCAGTGTAAACTGTAGCCTACATGTTTCACTTATTCAGGGGAGCAGTCGCACACCCCCTCCCCCATCCCCCACAAGTGTCAGATGCGTTTCTGAAAAAAAGCATTTCAAAATGTCTCAAAACTTCAATTAACTTCATATTAATATTGTAGTGCCATACAACAATATTAATAGCCAATTTATTTTAATTTAACCAATTTATGTCGTTAGTCTAAATTATTACATTTAAAATTATAACTCTAATTCAAACAGAATAGCTTCTTGTCAACATAATTATGGAGTGTGATTTATTTTCAACTCAAAATATCTTCAAACTCATGAAATATGAAGTTATTAATGAAGAAAAGCCGTCTAACAGCAGACTGACTGCTCGTAAAATATACGACAGGTCTGGACCGCTCGTGAATTTTGTTCGTATCTGAAGAAAATCTTAGAATACGAAAACATTGGTGAATGCCACAAATTCTCCTAAATCACTCGTACGCACAACTTAAGAACAAATCTGTGCGTACGAACGGTTCTTGAATGAGGCCCAATGATCCGACAGGGAAGTAAATACAAGACAGAGAATATAAAGGTGAGACTAATAAGCACAAACAAGAAACACCTGGGGGAGAAACATGAGGATCAGGTGTGTGAGTGGGCGGGGCTGGAGCACAGGCAAACAGGAGGAAGAAAACAGATGACAGCACCGAAAACTAGAATAAAACATTAACACAGACACCATTCATGACGTGCTCGTTCTGCTTCTTTGTTAGATTTAGTTTTTCCAGATTTTGGGCTATTTTACAATAAAATTGCTCAATTTTTCTACATTTTTTCTGCAAAAATCTCTCTGTATTCATTCATTCAAGCTGCATTTTCACAGTTACATGTAGGTGACAGGTGAAAAATTCAGTTAAAAATATTTTATTTTTTCTGTGCAAAAGAAAAATACGTGTCTTACCCTGAGGTCATAAGAGGACTGTGGTCTCTTAGGAGTTTCTCTAGAAGAGGACAGCAGGTCAGGCAGGTGATTCGCACCTGGTCTGAGTCTTAGCTGAAACTTATTGGTGTCTGCAGTCTGTAAGTTGTAGAGACAGGAAGTCGGTCTCTGTTTTTGTCCCGCCCCCTCATTGCGGACACACCGTTCACTAGTGTCACCTGTTCTCAGAGGTGTCCCAGGTGTGAGGGGTGTGTCCTCAGTTGGAGAGCCCACCTGGGAGCTGGACTTGGTTCTGTGTAGGTCTCTGTTGACCTTGGGGCTGCCGCTCTCGCTGCGCACCTGTCTGATGCGGTCCTGCCAGTAGGTGGGGCTCCTGCCGGAATTCGTGCTCTGATTGTGGTTGTCAATCTTCTCGTAATGGTACGAATCGTTCTCCACCAGTTCCCCCAGCCGGCCCAGGGACTGGGCTCGTTTTCGTGCCGACGGGCTGCTGCGGCGCAGAGAGTTTGAGCCGGTGACGGACACACGGCCCATGTCAGCGATGACCTGACTGATGTAGTCACCGTGACCGATGAAGCTGCCGCGAACGATCGTCTGTAGACAAACACACACCAGATTACAGTGGTCTCACAATCACTCAGATATGTTAACTGCAAACATACAGAGGCCAACCAGATTCAAGATGGCCGCCACTGCTGGTTAACCTGACAAAAAATGACTCCAGTAATTTTACAGCATTTTCCTAAAATTGGACGTGGTAGTCCTGAACGCATCCTCCAAGTTCTACTTGATGTGTGAGATTTTAACTTGTGTAAACTTTCATCTTCGATGCTGTTATCTTATTAGCCTGTTTGTTGTTTTCCTGTTTTAAGGTTTATTTTTTTGGACTACTTCAGCATACTTTCAGGCCTGTTGCAATAAGGTTGGGCAAAATCTAATGGTGTGCAATTAATTGTAAGAAAAACTGTAAACAACTAATATTGTTGCAACAAGGCAGACAATTCCCCCAGACATTGGTCGGCTATGTTTATGCAACGACAAACTGTGTGAGCATCCCTTGGAATTCTATAGTGGTCAATGAAGGAAAGTGCAACAACACTGTCATAAGAATGCACACTCTAACTAAATGTACATACTGAACCACTTATAATGTCATTCAATTACTCTTGTATCAATTGAGTGGAATGTTATGTTGTTTGTTTTTTTCCAAATCCATTCCATGCTTTGTATTTCAACAAGTGTCCCTATAAATACCTAGAGATTCAGAGGGACAATGTGCTCTGCTGGAAAGCCCACATTGATTTTATATTCACAACTACAACAGAGACACATCCCATCCCACCCCACCCTACCCTACCCCAGCCCACCCTGCCTTATCCTATCCTATCCTATCCTATCATATCGTATCGTATCCTACCCTACCATGTCCTATCCCATCCCATCCCACCCTATCCCACCCCACCTTATTTCACCCTACCCTACCCTACCCTATCCCATCCTACCTTACCCTATCCTATACTATCCCATCCCACCC